GTGTATGTATGTTCACATAAGGAAGAATGTGGGTCGCTTTTCATTGCAGTCAATGACATTGGCTGAGGCGGAGAAGAGCGCTTTGTTTATTCTGAAGCAAGTTATGGAGGAGAAGCTCACTAATTCGAATGTGGAAGTGGTGGCTGTTAAACCAACCAAGGATAGCAAAGGTTTGTTTGCAGTTTTCCTTGCATGCGTTGGAATAATGGTGAGAGGAGTATCTGAGGGAGGGAGGTAGCTAGCGACAATTGCATCCAAAAGCTGGAGAGCCTGATCTAGCAACATACGACGATATGTTTATATATCAAGCATTATACTGGCAGATCAAGCAGTTTAAATAATGGGCTTGTGTCACAACTCATATCAGTGCCATTTTTTTTCTTCCTAGAAATCAGTCTTTCAAAATTTCAGGTCATTTGACTGGAACTTTTGAGCGGTTAACGAAGGAGCAACTGGACGCAATTATTGCCGTGTTGTGATTTCTTTGTTTACAAAAATACAGGATAAATGTATCATCCCATTCAGCGAAATCCATCAGCGAAATTTACTACTGTGCGAAAGAATCCACTCACATAAATATCGTAGTACAGCAATTCACCTTTTACATTGGATGTCGTTAGAGTGCCTATCGTAGAATGCGATTTTAAAATTCGCAAACTGACTGAGCTGATTAGCTGATTCAGACAGCTATTGCTAAAAGGAAATATGTCGAAACGCTAATAAAATTGCTAATTCCTCTCGACTAGCGAACCCTGATATCGCAAGCGATAGGATTTGATGTGGTTATCCGCTTTGGCTGCACGATGTAACGGATGAGGAGTTTCATCGTTACGTTTCTGCATTAGCTCAACCACAACCTCTGTTACCCGCTAGGTACCTTTGTTGATAATACATGTCATCAAATGCTGTTGTGCTAGAATTGGAGCAATTGTTACTTCATTGTTTTAATCGTTTGAAAATTCCGTTGAAACAGTCAAAAAGGTATTTTTGTCACAAGATTGTAATGGAATGTTTCGTTTAATTTTATTAAAATTTTTTGCAAATTTTTGGCACTGAATCTGAAAAGCCAACTGCACAACTGTTTTAAAATTCTCGCTTTCGTAAATCAGTTCCCCTGGAGTTTTGTCTTCAACCGAGATGCGCCTACGCGAAGGTGAAGAAGGTAGAAGAGAGAACAATGACTGTGAAG